ACAGAATTATCAACAGTGTTATAGGGGGGGTCGACTGTAGTAAAAGATTCCTTACGTGTTTGTTTTGAAAAATTTTAAAAGTTTTTAACATTCTGTTTAATTAAATAAATGGCGAAAAATTAAAGGATTGAACTCGTTTCTATTTACAGTTACACTTGAATTTTTCGTAAATCCTTCTTAAATAAAAACAAACATTCATAGTAAAATAAATGCTTCAGTTAGAGTGACGAGGAAGAAACTAGTTATGGTAGGCCTAAACGACGTGTTTTTCATCGAATTTTAAAAGTTGAAATTAGAAACACCGAGTTATTCTAGTTGGAGTTGTAGTCATTTCACTGCGTAAAATTGCGAAGATATTCATCATCGGATATTTATGACAGAGAATTAATTTCAATGTACTTTAAGCAGAAAGTATGAAAAGCCCACAGTTTCATTCGTCTGGCATAAGCAGAGTGGCGCAGTGGGAGCGTGCTGGGCCCATAACCCAGAGGTCGGTGGATCGAAACCATTCTCTGCTAGTGTTTTAATATTTTTTTTTTCTTTAACTTTGTCGTTTTACGCTGTTGTAAATGGATACTGTTATTCCTTATTAACATACAGGCAATCCTTATCAACGATAACACAACGTTTTCTGATCGACCGTTCTTATTTCGTTTGTTCGTTATGAAACTTAAATCATCGCAGAGTGTTACGGAAGCGTAACTAAAGAAATGTTCTTCGAACTGTGCAGAGATGCCAAATGTTTTCAAAGAAATGAGCCCAATCAATCTTAAAAAGTAGCCTAGTATTGGTTTGATTAAAGTTAATGCAGCATATACAATCATTTATCCTCAAAATTAATGCTAGAAGATTCGAGGTCATTCTGTTTCTCGATTTGATTTTGATTGAAGTCACCATAGAAAAAATTCTTTCCACTGTGACAATACTTAATCGGCGAGGAACATAAACACAATGCAAACTTCGACATTTCGGAAAATGTTAAATCTCCTACAGCATTTTTAATAGTTGAGACGTTGCACCAAAACTCTGTTTTTAAAAATCAGTTGGAACGTTACCTGGAAAAATACTTGTTCAGTCTACTGTCAATAGATGCTGCCATTAAAGAGTTGAAAATGGAGGACGAGTAGGACTTAAGCAAATACTAGAAGATAAAACTCTAATTTTTTTAAGGATGTTTTTAGGTATGCGAGTAAGAATTTCTTTACAGGCTCATTTTAAAAAGTTTGAACATCTTTAACTATAAATGCTTGTTCATAAGAAATTTCATTTGATGTTACTTTATTTACCAAAAGGTTTTAAAACTCATAGACCAAATCAATCTTTTCATTTCACAGATAATGACATTCATCATTTAAATCAGCGGTGTCCAACCTTTTTATTTCTCTTGGCCATGTTGGAAGAAGCCATGGAGTTTTGGGCCAAAAATATATTATATATACTTACAGCCCAAGTATACTGTGGCCCAATCCTTAAATATACAAGTATATTTAAGGATTAACATGTCTAGATTATAGTAATAGGTACAGTAATACCCCGACTTACGCAAACCCGGAGTTACGCGATTTTCGATTCGTCTTTTGTTTGAGCGCCACGCAACCCTTGATTACTCACTCCCCCCACACTATTGTTCAGCTTACATGTTCGGATGTGTCGCGTGGAATCCACACATAGCTACAATTTATTTTGTGTTATTTATTTCTGTGCTTGTTATATCTACGGAGACTCGAGAGACTCTACTATATCATCCAAACGAAGTAGAACTAATTCTTCTGCATCAAACAAGAAAAGAAAAGCTTTATCTTTGGAATGTAAAGTTAACATTGGGTATGTTCGTAAAGTCGAACGAGTTAAACGAGAATGACGTCATCGTTATTCCTATTTCGTTAGACTTTTCGAACGATTCGTTACTAACGCGTTTAACTCGTTTGACTTTACGAACGTACCCATTATTAAAGACTTCGGTACAAAAATGAAAATTTGTGAATTGGCAAAGGAGTTTGATCTACCGGAATTGTCGGTCAGAACAATTATAAAAGGCAAAGAAAAAATTCTCGAAGCTGCGAAAAATGCTCAATAGGATTACACAAAGGATTATAGAGGACGGATGGCCGAGCGGCCAAGGCGACAGCCCACCGCCCTGGTGGACCCGGGATCGAAACCAGACGGGTCAAAGAATCCCCAGGAAATTTTCGGGGATGGTCCCTCACCACCCGGTCGCCCCATTGTGGGCCTGGCCGAAACTATAATGGGCCTACTATAAGAGGCTCTCTTAGTGCCCACAGGGCGGAAAGAGTAAAAAAAAAACAAAAAGGATTATAGACCCAAATGCGGGGAAATTTTTTATCCCCGAGGAAGGTTGAGAAAAGTAAGGATCAATATTTGCATAACAGAAGGTCTATTTAACTTATCTCATTACTTTTGGCCTTTCTCTCCTTTCCCCGAATTTGAATCTATAATTCTTTGAGTCACAACTCCAGCTTTATTTAGTATACCTTCCTCATTCACACATTTCCAAGTATTTGAAAATATTCCCTTGAAAATATACTCAAAAATAAAGTATGTATAAAAGTTTATGGCTTTGTGAAACTTCTGACGTTGAAATAAATAAAAAATAATAATAATAAAATTTGTCAGTTTTGTTTACATGTTTATTGGGCCGCGGGTTGGACACCCCCGATTTAAATCTATGTCAAGTTTCACAAATTCAGGAAACAAAACTCTTCTTAGAATTGATAAGATAAAGCTACATAATTCATCAAGTATTCTAAAATGATCTGCCATTTCTTTTTGAAAGAACAAATTAATTTTTTTTTCCAAATTCACTTAAGACGGGCCTCAAAAATGTGAAATAAAGTCTATTGGTTTCATCAGTGTACATTTTACATAATTCCCTGGCATAATACCTATTGGAACTAGATGAAACTATCTGAAAATGTAATTTTAAAGTATCCCACTGATCGAGAATCCTTCCNAGATGTATATTGCGACATTTCGCGGATTCGATGCTTTGGCACACATGGACGTACAAAAGAAACGTCATACGATGAGCGATGATCGACTAATATGAGAAATTTCTTACATTAATTGCTACTTCATTCTTTTATAACTGCTCTAACCCGAAAATTTTGAGAAATTTCTGACCAAAGCTTAAAATGCTACCCTACTTCATGCAATTTTATCAAGAACACGAACTTTGCAGTGAAAATTGGGCTTAAGTTTTGCGTGGGTGGCAGAAATTCCCCAACGAGCAACCAAAATCAAATAATGTATATAATTCATCTCTGTAATCCAAAATTTCTGGTAGACGGACTCACAGCAAAACTTTTAGTTAGGAAGTCACTTTTATTCTTTAAAAAATGACATATGCATTTCAGGTTGGTATATACATCCAACCCCTCCTCAGTGCTAATTTTTCAAAAAACAATAAAAAGTTATAATAATCAGTACATGACATCACATACATTACAAAATATTTCTACATACTTACTCTTAAAAATAAAATTTGTGTGTGGGCTACCAATACATCTAAACACCAACAATTGTTTCTCATCACCTTAAAATTATCGTACAAGTTTAAAGAGCACTTGNATCTCATTACTTTTGGCCTTTCTCTCCTTTCCCCGAATTTGAATCTATAATTCTTTGAGTCACAACTCCAGCTTTATTTAGTATACCTTCCTCATTCACACATTTCCAAGTATTTGAAAATATTCCCTTGAAAATATACTCAAAAATAAAGTATGTATAAAAGTTTATGGCTTTGTGAAACTTCTGACGTTGAAATAAATAAAAAATAATAATAATAAAATTTGTCAGTTTTGTTTACATGTTTATTGGGCCGCGGGTTGGACACCCCCGATTTAAATCTATGTCAAGTTTCACAAATTCAGGAAACAAAACTCTTCTTAGAATTGATAAGATAAAGCTACATAATTCATCAAGTATTCTAAAATGATCTGCCATTTCTTTTTGAAAGAACAAATTAATTTTTTTTTCCAAATTCACTTAAGACGGGCCTCAAAAATGTGAAATAAAGTCTATTGGTTTCATCAGTGTACATTTTACATAATTCCCTGGCATAATACCTATTGGAACTAGATGAAACTATCTGAAAATGTAATTTTAAAGTATCCCACTGATCGAGAATCCTTCCTACATATCTACTTCTAGCTAGACAACGTGTTTCTGATAATGAATGTTTCGCACAAGCAATATCTATAGATTCATCTATATTCTATAATAAGGGAAAATTTGCTATTAATTACAGTCGACCCCCTATAATACTGTTGATAATTCCGTTTTATATAAATTCCATGTTGTACGAGTCACTTAGATTTTACAAATACATGAGCCGTTCACAGCCCGGCACACATATTTGTAAAATCTAAGTGACTCGTACAACATGGAATTCATATAAAACGGAATTATCTACAGTGTTATAGAGGGGTCGACTGTATTTCTTCAATTTGGTCTGCGAATGTAGCAGGAGCTACGACACTGTTAATAAGAGCCGTGCATTTTGTTCTATGTAATTGCAAATCAATTGTTTTTGATGAGGATGACGTTTCTTATTTAATCGGCTCACCTAAATGATTAACACTAGATACGCTTGTACTGTACGACAAGCTACAAATGCTGCTAACTTTAATTCATATTTATTCATTTTGTTTTTATGTGAAAAAAGTTCCTTTAGATCATTTTTTTTGAATGTAAATCTATTAATTTAAATAACAGCAGTAGAACCCAATTATATTAGCTATCCTGATATAATTTAGTTAATTTTATAGCTATTAAAATGATTTTATATTTCATTTACCAAAAAGTAGTACGAAGTAGGCCACAAAATTACATAACTACCCTTAAAAGTAGCAAGTAGCCCCAAATAAAAATTAATAGCATACTTTGTTTAAAAATAGCCCAAACGGCGACTTTTCTTCCAGTCTGGCAACTTTACAACTGTGTTCTGCGGTGTGTTTTGAATAACAATAATCACGTGTTAGGAATGAGACGTCACTCACTGCTCTATCACGTGACATCGGAGAAGTCGTGACTAAGGGGAGTGTGTCGAGGCGGAGGTTATTCAGAGTTCAACAAAATATACGTGAAGCGGTTCAGAGAAATAGTAGACAATGGAAGACATCATTAAACGAAGTGATCAGTGACAAGAAAGAATCTACTAAATCAAAAGAACAGTGAGTTTAATTTAAACATAGACTTTCGGTTAATGTTAGCTATGGTGACTAAAATGGCCGCGCTTCCGACTGACCTCCCGGAGGGAGCCGCCATGTGTTTAACGTAGCTAGTTATTGATTCACGGTAGTTCTTGAACAAAGTAAAAAAAAAAAAAAACAAAAGGAAACGTCTACTAAAAATGTAGTTAATTAATCTAACGGAAACGAACCTAAGCGAAGTGGATACTGTACATATGCTGTTTAGTGGGTACGGCTATTTGAGATGTTTTCTTCCATAAAATTAATCAAATCTAGACTAATTTCACTCGAATATTTCCAAAACACGTATAATTTGTTGGAAATGATCGATATAAAATGTGCTATGAATAAAATATTGTCGGAATACTTATCGTATGTACCCCGTTCGAAGATACCATTGCTTAAGCTTGTTTTCGTCGCGGAGCGTCACACCGGACGGCGGACGCGTTTCGTTCACGTGACTACTAATCTCTGACGTGTTTCCTGATAACTTATTTTTTTTGCGAAGGATTTGCTGAACTTTACAGACATTACGTGATAGATCATAATATACTATAGGATTTTTATTGTAATTAAAAACGACTTATTATTAACTTTATGAAGCAACAAAGGAAAAACCGCTCGCTAACGACAATAATTCTATCATGATATATATTACGATGATAAATATTAATCAGATGCAACATAAGATGTCCAATGTCTTGATGTAAATAAATATACAATTTTGTTTACGACATGAGAGATTAGACCAATTAAAAGTAGAGCAGAATTATTACTTATTTATTGCATTATCATACGTTGTTATATGTTGATTTTAATTCATATTTAGAATGGAATAAAGTCTTAATATTTCTATTAATGATGTCTCTAAAGTTCAGCGAATTCTTCTGTAGCGTTACGCGACTATGTATTGTTATTATATGTATGTATATATATATTTTTGTCGGGTTCCTTTGTGTTTTGTATCGGGTTTTTGTCATTTATGCGATGTCACGTGTATGTGTGTATTATGATGTCACCGCATGGGAGGAGCTTTCCGATTGGTCCAAGGTGGGACACGTGGTAAAGCGGACTTCCGGAGAGCGGGAGATATAAAACGTGTGAACTCCCGTTATACGGATTATTCTGGTCTCTGTACCCATTGAGGAGAGTGGTCGTTATACTGGTAAGAATAAACCTTTTCTTTTTTTCCGTGCACGTGTTGGTCATTTACTGTGTCCTTTGTATATATATATATATATATATATTCAATATATATATATATATATACTTTTATTGCCCCGTGGATTCCTATATACGGCATACTCTACACTTCACAAAAAGAATAAGTTATCAGGAACACGTCAGAGATGAGTAGTCACGTGACCGAATATCACCGACGAGTGTCGCTTGACACGCTTCGTACGCGTCCGTCGTCCGATGTGACGCTCCGCGACGAAAACAAGCTTAACCAACGCCGTCTTCGAACGGTGTACACTCGATAAGTATTCCGATAATATTTTATTCATAGCATATTTCATATCGATCATTTCCAACAAATTATACGTGTTTTTGAAACATTCGAGTGAAATTAGTCTAGGTTTGATTTAATTTTATGGAAGAAAACCTCTCAAATAGCCGTACCCACTAAACAGCACAAGTGCCACCGAAACGCCACCATTTTTAGTCACCATTTATTATTGATAACAATAATTATTTTTCCTTGCTTTTCTCTATAAACTGTACAAGTTTCAGAATTTCAGTACAGGACTTCTTATATCCAAAAGTTTTCGATGATGATGACTTTATTCATTTAATTTATTGTTACAAATGCATTTCAGAACAAGTATATTTTCATTCCATCTTCAGTGCTATTATAAATAAAAAATTCAGTATGTTACACATTATCATTCACTATTCCTATTTTAAATACAAACAAGTAAAACGGCAAGGCCATTTTTGAGACGAAACTGTGTCTCAGAGACTCAAGGCTTGATTGCACGCTGTTTTCTAAGGGAAAGAGAAAAATGGACACTCTCCAATGAGGAAAAGCCATCACTGGTACTCGGGTCCTGGCATAGATTACGGTGGGCTTCGTTGCCACTGTTGTCATGACAGGTTGCGTTGTCACGGGCCTGTTCTTGATTATGGTAATCGGGATCACTTTGATGCTCATGGCGGGTCTCGGTCTCGTTCTCATTCTCCGATCTTCTTTTGTATCGCTGGTTTTGAGTGTGATTGTTCAAACTTTGCCGGCCATGGCCATGACCACGAGGCATTTTTGGTGAAATTAATGGGTCAAAGGTGAAAGGCGAATGAGGTGTCAGCAGCACACAAGAAAATCGAAATGACGAGAAAAAGAGAATACATGCATAACATGTGTCACACATTTGTCAAAATTTGGTTTTGCAATGTTTGCATTTCGAACTTCCCAACAAGCAGCGCATGCACTAGCGCCTGTTTGTAGAAACAGTGTCGCCATTTTGTATTTTATTATGACTCGGTTCTCGGTCCCCGACTACCTATAAGTCTGGTTTTTTTAATGTGTGCATGATTTGGACACCAAATACTCTGTGCCAAATTGCAACTCTTGACATGCACTCCTTCATACCTCTAAGGTGTCCAACCATTGTCAACACTGCAATTTTATAGACGAGACTATGTCTCGTCAATTATATCAGTACTTACAAGTTAAAAAATAGTTTCAATAAATTTTGAATTCAAATATACCGAGATTGCATACATTAAAAAATTGTTAAAATACGACTCCTGTATTTGTAATGTTAAACAAATAATATGTAAGACAATATTCATATTTAAGTTATTGATAATACTTAATTTTTGTTCAATAGGATCATAATAAAACGTAATTACTTACATTTTAAACATTTACTATTTCATGCTATTAAAATGTTATACAGATCTTTTACACAATTAAAATAACAATTTACTATATTATTACATAATGATTAGTGTTGCAACGAATAGTATATTCGGCCAAACTATTCGGCTCAATTAACGTACATACGAAAATTGGTGCGCAAACCTCATTATAGCAAGGACCCTGCTCTGTATTGGCCCGCTGTCACTACGTTTCGCCAATCGCGTTAATTTTTTACAGTTGTAGCGGACAGACGAGCGTCATGGCAGTATGTGATAAATGATGATATCAAATGTGGATAACAATAAGCTGCCTCGACTTGTTTGATTATGTTATCAACTGAATTTCATATTTATTTTCACATATTTACGGTCCTTCACATGTAAATAACGGAAAAAGAACAGAGAAGGACCATGAAAATATGAAAATAAATATGAAATTGAGTTGATAACATAATCGAACAAGTTGAGGCAGCTTATTGGCATGAAATTCGTGGGCGTCAATGCCAAACAATTGTTGTCATAGACTCCGGAAAGCTAAATGCTTGTAATAAAAGTCACTTAACGTGCACAGGCGAAAGCCTGGGGCTGTACGAGCTACCAAGCTGTCTCGAATGTGTGAAATCATAACTGTGACTTATACCGATGTCTTATCTGTCTCTTTTCTCCGTTATCACCAGGCTATGAGTCACGTAATTGTAAAATGGGAAATCTACGACGGAAAAGTGATGAATCGAAAGTATAGTGAGGGCGTATAATGATGTATGCATAGGCATACGGGGACTAGAGCGATAGAGGAAAGAGAAAGGGATGAGCAAAGACGAGCGCTTAAAAAGAAGGATAGGCAGGGTTGGACCCTCAGATGTGCAACGATTCTCGAACGAATAGGTGTGTACTGTACATGTGCTGATCTTTGTAATTATAAATTGTGAATACATGTGATTAATATTATTTTCTTTTTTATTTTGTGCATGTTATAAGTTATAAACAAATATAAATAAACAACACTAACCCGATAACATTAAATCTAAATATCAAAATGATTAATTTACTGTGGTTTTGTTATTTCTTACTCCAGTTTTTACGTATTCGGTATTCGGCCGAATAGCGAAAAATAGGCCGAATACCGAATATTCGTTACATCACTGATAATGATGCTTCTTTACTTATTATTTTAACGTTATTCCCTCTATTGTGTCATATTATATATTATTCATTTGCATACCTATTGATATATTAATAATTATTATCTTTTAGAATTATCTGTCATGACAACTAGAAGGGCAAAGCTACAGATTCGACCCAATACAGGACAAAGTATTCGAGACAGTACAGATGCTACAGCCAGAAAAACTAATTTGACAAAAAAGCCAGCCTTAAAGAAAAATGAAAATTCTCTTAATGTATTACAAAATGGCATTGATAAAACAACTGATTTGCAAACTGTAGAATGTGTTGAAAAAACTATAGATTCATTCCCAAAAGAACAAGAACAAATCTCATTACAAAAAGAATTAAATTCAATTCCTAAATCTCCATTAATAGAGAAAAAAGTTGATATAAATCAACAGAATCAGTCATTGTTGTCTCATAATGGAACTGTACATAAGCCAAAGGATGAGATTCTTCAGGATAAAATTATAGAAGATATAACTGAACAATGTGAAAAATCTTCTGTAAAGTCTGACTTTTGTGATAAAGAATTAAATAGTGATAAGGATATACCATCAAAAGAAACTTCAGAAGTTACACCTAGCAAAATAGCAACCGAAACTGTTGAAAATAATGAGGTAACAAATAATACGTCACCTGTGAAAACCAGTGAGAAGAGTGTGTCAAGGCGGAGGTTAGTTAGAGCTCAACCAAATATACGTGAAGCGGGTCAGAGAAATAGTAGACAGTGGAAGGCATCATTAAATGAAGTGATCAGTGAAAAGAAAAAATCCATTAAATCAAAAGAACAGTGAGTTTAATTTAACATAGACTTTCTTATTTGAAACATTAACTGTGACTTTACTTTGTTTTACAATATACAATTTAACTTTAATATATAATAATGTATAAAAATATACAATATTATATAATAGACTTTAATATAATTATTTATATAGGCTAACTATGTGTTTAGTTACTCATAGAGTTATTCTAAATATGTGTTTATCTTTATTTATTTGTATAAATTAAAAGTACATTTAATATTTATTTAAAATTAATTTAACTTTCTTTGAAGTGTTGTTTCAAATCTTGGAAGTCCTACATCAGAAAACAATAAAATCTCCTCACCAACTAAAGCAATAACTTTAGCAACTAACACAAAGCAATATATAAGTCCTCAAAGTACTTCACCAGTTGCCTCAGAAAAGAAAAATGTAAATAAATCAAATGATGATGTAAGTATTCTGTATTATTTCTTACACATGTAACATTGCATAATATTAATTGAATTCTAGACTAATTTGACTTGAACATTTCCAAAACTTGAACATTCCAGAAGTTTTTGGGGATTTCCATAAAAAATATGCTATAAACAAAAAATTTTAGGAATGTGTACTGAGTGTGTGTCATTCAAAAATACCATTGCTTAAACTTGTTTTTGTTGTAGAGCAGCACATTGGATGGCAGATGCGTATGAAGTGTCACATGGCACTTTCATGGTGTCATTTGGTCATGTGACTATTCATTCGTCTTAGCTACAGCTCGCATCTCTGACATGTTTCCCGATAATTTATTCATCTTGTGGAAGAATTCATTCTTTTGCTCTGTACTTTGGGGACATCGTGTGATAGAGCAGTGACGTCATATTTTCTATCATGTAATATTACTCTTTAACTCCAAAGAATCCCTAGAAGACAGGTTGATAAACATTGCATTAGTTACATTTCTGGTAATATCACAACTTTCTACAACAAAACCCACTGAGTTAACTCTGCAAAAAACAAACAATTTTTAAAAACTAAAGTAATAAACTTTAAAATTCTGATTAAATCCCTATAATCCCAAATTAAATAAATAGAAATTTTTTATCTAAATTTACAAATAAATTTTAACATAAAATCATATAAACTAAAGTTATATAACAATAATATATGTATAATTTATGCAAGATATGTGACTAATTCCATATAAAGATTTTGTTTGGAAATAAAATATTTTATCTAAAACAATAGATGAAACGTGTCAGAGCAGTGCTCAAACTTTTCGTTTTTGCAGACCAGTACTTTTATAAAATTAAATAGTTATTAAATGGAATTTAAATGCATTATTTTTTAAATTTTTGACTGAATTAGTAAGAAATACAACAAAACGTGGTTCTAATCCTTTTGAAAAACTGTGTTTGTGGGCTAATTTTCATGAGTTGATTTCGATTGTCTGTCCATCTCTGGCAGTGTTTAAATAATAATACAAATAATTATTTATTGTGACATCATCACATTGCCAGGCAGCAGTTTTTAATAAAATTTTTTAATTTATTTAATTTAAAATATAAACTCTCCACCTCAAATTAGTACTATAGTGCCTTGCCCCTAAACTGTACATCATACTTTTCTGTTATAAATAAAATTGTGCCAGTCATCTAACTCCTTTCAGGAGAAAATTTTTGAACTGAAAAATCCTTCATTTCTTTATGCAGCAAGTATGTAGCAAAATGACATCACAAGCAGTGTTGGTCAATTAGAAACCAGTTTCAGTGTGTTTGCGGTAAAGGGCTTCTCGAGCGCTGCATAAAGAAATGCAGGGATAATGTGACTTCCAGTTTGCATCATAAGTTCATATACAGTTAATCGAGACCTCCTGCCCCTAAGCTTTCCTTATCAGGTTTTGAATTTCATTTATCCAACACCATTCTTCAGATTAAGGAAAGACAGACAGACAACAGTGGGAATTTATAGGACTACAATTTTTTGAAATTGCAGTCCAATAACAACAAAATTAATAGAATAACATGTCTTCAAGAGACTTTGAAAGACATTTTAAAATAGTTTTATTAATGTAACATATGAAATACTGAATGTTTAATTGAAATCTGGTCTTGACCAAGTAATAAACCATTAGAGCAATTTCTATTGGATATGTATTAGGTTTTAGCATTTGTGCAAACAAAAGCTTTGAAATCTATGCTAACCAATTATCACTTTTCTTATCTAGTGGCAGATTACATGATAATAATATCTCTATGTTTTCTATTCTTTTTATTTCCAATAAAATACTATCGAACATCTTTTGAAAATTGTTTTCGGCAGTTTTGAAATAATTTGAGCAAGCTGTGAGTACTGACAACTACACACTTTGCTGACCCCACAATCTCAGGTTGCAGTTGATGAAAGCAGATATATATGCCTTAAACACCGCATCTTATTTTTACGTTCCTGGCTGTTATATGTAATAGAGGAAAAGAAAGAAGAGTGATAAGTCAAAATGGACTCCCAATATTTTTATGTTTTGGACATAGGGCACCTTGAAATCTCAAGAAATGCAAAAAAATTCAGATGTAATTTCTGTATGTATAGATGTTAGTATATATGTGTGTGGCATGATTTTATTTACCCTGTTTGAAGTTCAATAACTCTTGTGCTTTTTGTTGAAAATTTCTGAAATTTTGCAGGGAGGTTTGTGTCTTGGGGGATCGATGCTATTAAATTTTGGCGATTGAAGGTCAAGGGGGCAGGGAGATAATGGGGATTGTGTATATCTCCAGTAGGGTTGACTTATTGATGATTTACTTGTTATTAGCATTTACAATTTTTTATAAAACCCATCCCTACCCTCAAAATAAGCTTTTTGCCATTTTATAATATAAAAATATTTTTAAAAATTTTAATATGATAACAGATGGTGCCACCAAAATTTTAAATGTTGCTGGGAAAGTTGAGCAACTCGTTGCTGGTTTATTTATTAGATTATTTCATTAGTAAACAGTTCCATTGTTAAATTTTAAGCTTGATCTGCATGTAATATTGAGTGTTAGTACAAGTGCCTCAGTAAATTTGTTTAATAGATAATAAATAATATAGTTCTACAAGGTAGACAGATATTTTTGTGAATTCACTAAGATACAGTACTGTACATTCATTTAAATGCATTATTGATTATTGTAAGTTGAAAGTATCTTTACTCTTTTAAATATTTAACGAGACTCAAACTTTGCTTTATGTAGTCTTAATTATTGAAAAAAGTATGATTCAATAATGAAACACAAAATCTATTTATTTATTTCACGAAGTTATAAAATGCCATTTAGTAGCTTGCCACTCCCTGATTTAATAAATATCCTGACAACAATATACAAGTAAAGACATTTTTAACTCCTTAACGCCCGCCTGTTTTTAATTATGATGTAATTAAGCATAAAAAATACTTAAAACTGAAAAATAACGAAAGAAATGGGTTAATTTTTAAGGAAAAGCTTCAAATTTTATTTTCCTTTGTCTGGCCTTTCTGTGAAATTTAACACTGATGAGTCATTGTTTACACAGCTGGATGACCTTGAACACAGCTGGAGTCCGATTTCCCAGGGCATTCTCATATACGTCTCGGGAGGACAAGGGTTTAAAGTAGGGTGAATATGAGTGACACGTATAATTTTAAATATTTTTAAAAAATTAAGATTTTAATTGCGATTTCTGACCCCCCCAATTAATTAAATTAATATATAAAATAATCGATTAATTAAAAAAAATTAAAAACTATCAAAGGTCGTTTTTGACATCAGAAAGCAGCTTTAAATAACTTTACCGAAGGAAAATCCGTGCGCTACAACTTAGGAACCATGAAATAAATTTGATAAAAAACTCCCATTAAAAAACAAGCCTTAATCGAGCCTTTATCAAAGGCTCATTAAAATCGCGATAAAATGTTTTCGCGCGGACAAAAAATTTTGAAAAAATTTGGTTAATTAACTGAATGGTTAACAGTAAGATGTTGGTACCAAGAAAATGTCACGTGTTATAATGGTGACCCAAACAGTGCAAAGTCAGTAAGTCACTTACTGACTTTGCACTGTTTGGGTCACCATTATAACACGTGACATTTTCTTGGTACCAACATCTTACTGTTAACCATTCAGTTAATTAACCAACAGTTTTTTGTTTTTTTGTTTATGTCAGCAAGAAAAAAATTGATGTTTTGAAAATGTCTATCAAATATGTGTCTTTAAAAAAATTAAAAGAAAACTCATAATGATAAGAAACTATACTGGTTAATGTTTACCTAGGTAGTCCAAGATGGCCGCACAGTGGGGACCCACGTTCTAACCTAATCTAACCTAACCTATTCTAATAAATTAAGAAAATTTTCCTTTCTTCATATAATTAATTTTTTGAGTTATTTTACATCTTACATTAGTAATTTTGTTAATTTATTAGAATAGGTTAGGTTAGATTAGAACGTGGGTCCCCACTGTGCGGCCATCTTGGACTACCTAGGTAAACATTAACCAGTATAGTTTCTTATCATTATGAGTTTTCTTTTAATTTTTTTAAAGACACATATTTGATAGACATTTTCAAAACATCAATTTTTTTCTTGCTGACATAAACAAAAAAACAAAAAACTGTTGGTTAATTAACTGAATGGTTAACAGTAAGATGTTGGTACCAAGAAAATGTCACGTGACATTTTCTTGGTACCAACATCTTACTGTTAACCATTCAGTTAACACGTGACATGCTTCATATGCGTGTCACGCATATGAAGCATGTCACGTGTTATAATGGTGACCCAAACAGTGCAAAGTCAGTAAGTGACTTACTGACTTTGCACTGTTTGGGTCACCATTGCTTAAGATTATTTCTGTTATGGAGTATCATGTTGGACAGTGGATGTGTATAAAACATGTGATGTGACCTTACTTCAATTAGAGCACTAGATTATACAAGCATAACAATCTGCCATTTTGAATCTCAACATTCAGTTAAACAAATATCAATAAATTCATTTGTGTAAAGTATTTCATTAATAGTTAATTTATTACACTTATTACATTCTTTTATTTTTAAAATAGCTTAATAAATATAAAAAATAAAGATTAACAGTTTAATTGAAAAAATAAAAAAATAATAATCACATACAAAATTTTACTGATGTTTAGAAATTACATTGAATGTTTTTATATAAAGTACTTTATTTATATTATATCTGGGATATAGGATTTTTATTTAGAGCTGTGTAAAAAATTCCATGAAATAAATATTATATACATTGTCATATTACAATAAAATAGTATTAATTTTTTTGTCATAGTGTTTTGTCTGTTTTGAAAACTTTGAGGTTCTTTTCATTTAACTTCAAATGTTTACGAAAAGAAAAACCTCGCACAGATGTATAATGTAAAAGTAAATTTTTGCCTATATAATTTTGTCTAATCTGAAAGCAAGTCATTAAAGTATCAATAATAGTATTCATATTTAAGTTTGATTTTAGAAGACTGTGATTATGCTTCTGAATGAGTTCTTCTGTCAGACACAATTTAAACCACTCCATGAGTATTTTTACATTCTTACAAGTTTTGTTAATTTTTTAAGCTAGGTGTAATGTTTTCTAATTCTATGGTCAAAAATTCTTTACAAGTTTAACACAATCCTTTCTTTTTTATAGACTTTAATACACTTCTGGCAATATAATAAATGCTGTTATATTCAGAATTTGATTTAAAAAAAATTTGGATTTTCATCATTTATTGATAATGATTCCTGTTGTACTGTACTTCAGTTTGTATAGGATATGTTGTTTTTAGATTTGAATAATCCAACAGAACCTTGTCATTATCACAAAAATAATTTGTATTTTTAGATGGTGATATAAATTGTGAAATACAAATTAATTTAATTGTTCTTAAACAAGCTAAAGTGGAAGGATTAGCATCTTTATTTCTAATCTGAAAAAATAATTTTCTAAGTCATCTTGGGAAAATCAAGTTCCTAATGAATAGCCATCATGTTTTTGAAAAAATTTTTGGATAATTTAATAAAAGATATGTCAACAATGATTCAGTATTTAAAGGTTTCCATCCACCTGAGCCAATTTTTATTTCTTGCACAATGTCAATGAAATTTTTGAGAAAGGTAATTTTTTTAAACTGATTTTTCCATCAATTATATGAGTGCTAAGGTGGCTTTTCTTTTCCGCTAGACTTATTACACCACCAATAAAACGGAGGACAAGCTTTAGAAAAACTTTTTATTTATTTGAGTATGCATTTCGGACAATTATATCCCTTTTCAACTCTTGTGTTACAAATGGATTATGAGAAATGCAGGAGTTGTGACATTAGATAAAATATGGATGGTGATTATTGATTAACAGGTATAAGAGCAAACATGACGGCATGGTACATAGTGTTGGAAAAAACATCCCACTATACATGACAGTTTTGAGTTAAGATTATAAAATTTGGGAAACCTTGATCTTGGTTACGGTAAGGACAATAGAAAAACATTTTGGAACAACCAGTATGATGAAGTGAAGGTAGTGCCTGATGGTGTCATAAATCTAACAGAAAAGAAAAGCCACCTTAACGCTCGTATAATTGAACACAAGACTAGACAAGAAGTGTATCGCATGATTTTTCCGTGTTAATGATTTTGTCCTGTTTCTTGATGTCAGCAAAGAAAACCATTCATGCAATAAACAAATAAACCATGCTGTAGTGAGAGCATCCGGTGACAGCATTTTACACATAACAACTGTTTCTATTACTGTATCAGTTTTTAGTGTAAAGAAATTCACTGCAAAAGCCAATATTCATTTTTTTTAAATGCAAAGGATAAATACAACTTTCATTTAAGTGGAATCAAGTGCACTAGTCAAATTAATTTCTTTTTCCCATAAATCTATAATGTATTTTGATGATACTACTGCAGATGGTAAACCTTCATTACTTACTACAAATTCTGGAAAATTAAAATCAGAATCTAACAATTTAACATTGCTGTATGCCAATTTTTTTAATAAATGGAGAACATCTGCAAATATTATTATTATATGTAAAAAAATGGTTTCTGTCAGATCTTGTTACAGAATCTTCAAGTTTCTGACAAGTTTTATGCTGTAATTTCTGACATGGTTTATGACATGGACAATAAAACACTTTGCTTTATTTACTTGAACCCATGTCAGAAACTACAGCATAAACACAGAGTCCAACATCACTAAATCTAATCTAAAATTTGCATTATCAAATCTTTTAATTCAAACCATTTGTAGTAGAACCAGTAATGTGAACAGCTACAATTTGTTTCCAATTTGTATTACAGTAGAGCCTCGATTATCTGACCCCTCGGTTAACCGACCGTCCTAGTCGGCAAATTTCAAATGCCTGCTATTGATGTGGCGCTACAATATTTGGCTATGTCTTGGCTACTTTAATATTATTTTTATGTGTTTTAGCTGGCAACACTCATTCGACCATGAAAGGGAGCCAGAGGCTTAATTTTCTAATTTTTAACAATACAATAGCGACAATTATTATTTTAAAAAATTTTGTTAGGCTTAACATTGATGAAAATTCAACGTGAAGTAGGTTAATAGCGATATACTAATATACTAATTACATGGGATATAATAATATACTACACTAATAATGGATTTTTTCATACTTTTCGGTTATCCGACTTTTCAATTAT